CTAGTAGTATTACATAGAAAAACCAACAAAAAAATCTATAAAAAAAATAAAGTCATGTTTATGGCAGTGTCTGTGTTTAGAGAAATACGTGTTGGAGAAATACACTGATTCCACAATTGGAGACCCAAAATCATGCATTTTTTATTGTATGTGAATATGGGGGAAGTGTAACAGAGCTAGCTAGGCATCAGTCCACTTAACTGAAGGGGAAGCACTGAATACCTCTACTCTCATAAAGCAGAGAGCTTCAGTTCATAGACCTTCTCTGACCTGCTGAATATGAGTAATAATAATGTCATCTGGACACTGTTCCTCCATTACAGAGAGCACTCATTAGACAAAGGACACAAATGCACACACACAATCTCAGGTCATAAAGGGGACTGGGAGGGCACAAACAGTGGAGGAGATGGAGAGCAGCTCTCTCCAGCTGGGGTGACCAGAGGTCACACTTCTACACATGTCCACGTCCACACCACACCGCACGCACGCACACACTGAAGCCAGCAGGAGGGCAACTGTGACCTTCAGAAAAATTTTAACAATGTGAAAAGACAAACAATTTATAATAACAACAACTGATATTTTGTAACAACTTTGTCACTACATTTTCTGGAAAATGACATGCTTTCTCATTCGTGGCCTCTAGACAGAGTAGCAATCACTGTAATGAGGTTCCCATTAATTTCAAAGACTTTGGATATTCCTCTGCTTATAATGCTTTTTTATAGGTTTCTCAGCTGCTGCTGATGAACTGATTCACAACAATCACTTGGCAAAATAAATGGACAAGGGTTTAGGTTCAAGTAAACTCATCATCAGACTAAAACATAATGAAATGTTACATGCTGACCAAACCGGCTCCGCGCGTGAGTCTGCGTGCGCCATCGTGATTTTGTCTATCCCCATATCCCCACCAGATGCGTTCCTGACACACAGGTTAAAATACTAAAACCAACTGTGAACCAACTATATTAATTTGGGGAAAGGTTGAAAAACACATGAAACATTCATGGCCATTTAGCTAGCTTGCTGTTGCTTGCTAATTTGTCCTGGGAGATAAACATTGGGTTGTTATTTTACCTGAAATGTATATGGTCCTTTTTTTGCTGGATCTTTGTAGAATTTTTACCCATTTTGAGTCATACAAAATCTTGTGTTCTCTACTCCGACAATTAATCCACAGATAAAGGCAGGTAGCTTAGTGGGTAAGAGCGTTATGCCAGTAACCGAAAGGTCGCTGGTTCTAATCCCCGAGCCGACTAGGTGAAAAATCTGTCGATGTGCCCTTGAGCAAGGCACTTAACCCTAATTGCTTCTGTAAGTCGCTCTGGATAAGAGCGTCTGCTAAATGACTAAAATGTAATAAAGGGGAAACCTCGTTCAAATCAACATTTATTGGTAACATACACATATTTAGCAGATGCTATTGCGGGTGTAGCGAAATGCTTGTGTTCCTAGCTCCAACAGTGTAGTAGTATCTAACAATTCAAAACAACACACACAAATTTCAAAGTAAAAGAATGGAATTAAGAAATATATACAGTACCAGTCAAAAGTTTGGACACACCTACTCATTCAAGGGTTTTTCTTTATTTTCTACATTGTAGAATATTAGTGAAGACATCAAAACTATGAAACAACACATATGGAATCATGTAGTAACCCACCAGTCCCACTAAGCGCAAACCAGATGGGATGGCGTATCGCTGCAGAATGCTGTGGTAGCCATGCTGGTTAAGTGTGCCTTGAATTCGAAATAAATCACGACAGTGTCACCAGCAAAGCACCCCCACACCATCACACCTCCTCCTCCATGCTTCATGGTGGGAACCACACATACGGAGATCATCCGTTCACCTACTCCGCATCTCACAAAGACCACCGGTCTAATGTCCATTGCTTGTGTTTCTTGGTCCAAGCAAGTCTCTTCTTCTTATTGGTGTCCTTTAGTAGTGTTTTTTTTGCAGCAATTCAACCATGAAGGCCTGATTCACGCAGTCTCCTCTGAACAGTTGATGTTGAGATGTGTCTGTTACTTGAACTCTGTGAATCATTTATTTGGGCTGCAATTTCTGAGGCTGGTAACTGTAATGAACATATCCTCTGCAACAGAGGTAACTCTGGGTCTTCCTTTCCTGTGGTGGTCCTCGTGAGAGCCAGTTTCATCATAGCGCTTGATGGTTTTTGCGACTGCACTTGAAGAAACGTTAAAAGTTCATGAAATTTCCCGCATTGACTGACCATGTCTTAAAGTAATGATGGACTGTCATTTCTCTTTGCTTATTTGAGATGTTCTTGCCATAATATGGACTTGGTCTTTTACCAAATAGGGCTATCTTCTGTATACCACCCCTACCTTGTCACAACACAACTGATTGGCTCAAATGCATTTAGAAGGAAAGAAATTACACAAATTAACTTTTAAAAAGGCACACCTGTTAATTGAAATGCATTCCAGGTGACTACCTCATGAAGCTGGTTGACAGAATGCCAAGAGTGTGCAAAGCTGTCATCAAGGCAAAGGGTGGCTACTTTGAAGAATCTCAAATATAAAATATATTTTGATTTGTTTAACACTTTTTTGGTTACTACATGATTCCATATGTGTTATTTCATAGTTTTGATGTCTTCACTATTATTCTACAATGTAGAAAATAGTAAAAATAAAGAAAAACCCTTAAATGAGCAGGTGTGTACAAACTTTTGAATGGTACCATAAATAGGACGAGCAATGTCGGAGTGGCATTGACTAGAAGACAGCTAACCCATCTATGCGCCTAAAAACCAATAAGTAGATGGATGAGGCGGCGAGTTTGGATGAAATTATTGAATAGTGCCTTCAGAAAGTATTCATACCCCTTGACTAATTAAACACTTTGTTGTGTTACAGCTTGAATTCAAAATTGATTAAATATATTTTATTTCTCACCCATCTACACACAATACCCCATAATGACAAAGTGAAAACATTTATTAATACATTTTTGCACATTTATTGAAAATGAAATGCAGAAATATCTCATTTACAGTGCATTCGGAAAGTATTCAGACCCTTTTACTTTTTCCACATTCTGTTACGTAACAGCCTTATTCTAAAATAGATTACATTGTTGTTGTTTTTCTCATCAATCTACAGACAATACCCCATAATGACAAAGCCAAAACAGGTTTTTAGAAATTTTTGCAAATGTATTAAAAATTAAAAAATTTAATATTACATTTACATAAGTATTCAGACCCTTTACTCAGTACTTTGTTGAAGCACATTTGGCAGTGATTACAGCTGTGAGTCTTTCTGGGTAAGTCTCTAAGAGCTTTCCACACCTGGATTGTGCAACATGTGCCCATTATTCTTTTCTAAATGATTCAAGCTCTGTCAAATTGGTTGTTGATCATTGCTAGACAACAATTTTCAGGTCTTGCCATAGATTTAAATGTAGATTTAAGTCAAAACTGTAACTTGGCCACTCAGGAACATTCACTGTCTTCTTGGTAAGCAACTCCCAGCGTCTGGTGGAAAGCAGACTGAACCAGGTTTTCCTTTGGGAATTTGCCTGTCCTTAGCTCCATTCTGTGTTTTTTCTTATCCTGAAAAACTCCCCAGTCCTTAATGATTACAAGCGTACCCATAACATGATGCAGGCATTGGAAAACCTCCCTGGTCTTTGTGGTTGAATCTGTGTTTGAAATTCACTGCTCGACTGAGGGACCTTACAGATCATTGTATGTGGGGGGTACAAAGATGAGGTAGTCATTCAAAAATAATGTTAAACACTATTATTGCACACAGTGAGTCCAGCAACTTATTTTGTGACTTGTTAAGAAAATGTTTACTCCTGAATTTATTTAATCTTGCCTTAACAAAGGGGTTGAATACTTATTGTCTCAAGACATTTCAGCTTTAAAATGTTTATTAATTTGAAACAATTTCTAAAAACATAATTCCACTTCGACGTTATGGGGTATTGTGTGTATGCCAGTGGGGGGAAAAAATCACAATTGAATCCATTTTAAATTCAAGCGGTGTGAATACTTTCTGAAGGCACTGTATGTGTAAATTTATTTTTGCAACGCTAGTGCACGCAATGCCGGCGGTTTGGTCAGCATGCTAGGATTTGGGAGACAGGATACAAGTGGTTAGAAAGAGCCGATTATGTAATGTAGTGGTTAGTTAGAACAATGTAGAGCAGGATGCTGTCCTTTAAAACATGGCGAATGGTTTTGGTGCTAAAATGGACGAGAGGCATAAAAATCAAGACTAAAACAGTTTAAAAAAAGATCTGAATCTGAATCTTTGTCCTGGTAGTAGATCCTTGCCACATTTTTATCCTAGTACTAGCCTACAACAAACACTCATCCCAATCAACATCAAATGTTAGTCTAGACAAACACTCTCATTCAGAAACATTGTAGGTAAAAACTATTATGGGATAGGTAAAATGTCAAATTTGATTAGGCTTTGTTATCTCATAACGTCTTATGTGAACTGTGTGAACAACAACGGACTACTTTGTTCACGCTTGGCATTATATTCTCCCGCCAAACTGAACAACAAAACACGAACACTGGATGCAGAACATCACGCTCCAGCAGCACATGGCTGTTGCCATCCCTAACTAAACACAGTTTGCTATGCTGAGAAAGGCGTTTATGCATTTTACAGTTTGCTATGCTGAGAAAGGAGTTTATGCATTTTTTAGTTGTAAGAAATCAAATAGCAAATGTTTTGTCAGATCTATCTATCGTGTGGTGTCCGACTCCTATCTGTGTTCTCGCAGGCATAACGTGGTGATAGAACTTTGTAGAACACAGTTCCGTTTCTGTCTTTGATTGTACTCCAATTTATGTAATCTCGCGCCAAATTCTCGGAAGACAAGAGACCCTAGTTTCGCGCGCTGAGGCTAAACTCCGGTCACAGTTTTGATTGACAGGCATTATAGCCCCTCAGAGAGAAACTCAGAAGTGGTAATAGCCAATAGTGAAACTAAGATTTTTTGGCAGGCGGGGAAACACACCGTTGAAGATTCTTATTGATTCAGTCGCCTAAAAGCAGTCTATACAGAGGAGTTGTGTACGGATTACTAAACGTCATTTAATTATTTGCATTTGGAAGAAAAAACAGGTAATATAATGTTTCTACTTCGGCAAGTTTGGTATTTTAAAAGTTGCTGGCTAGCTGAAACTTGGCACAGTGAATAAGCTAGCTAACGTTAACTTTGCTAACATTTGGGAGGGTGAATTCGAAATATTCCAGCTAACGTTAATTTCCCTCGACAAAGTTTACATGCTTAACATTACTCACTAGGTACGTGTCAGTGTGATCAATTTAACAGTATTTCATTTGGTTACCTAGCGAGCAACTTCAACTCCAATTTATTAGCTACTAATCTTAGCTATGTTGTAGCGTTATGTAGCTGCTGTAGCTAGGCTAATGTAACGTGGTGTGCTGTCAATGTCGATTACCACACATCGACTAAAGTAGTGTGATTTAATCAGGCTGTAATACACAATTAATTGGTACGTGTATAGCTAGTTACAGCCTGAAACTAATGCCTGAAATCGTAAATGTTTCCTACAAGCCAGAATGTTGAATAAAATCACATTTCAACTCAGTTCTAACATTACCGGTTGTCTGTGCGGTTTGTCCTTGCTTCAACTGCTCGATCGAAATCTGAGACAAAATATCCACAGGAAAAAAGTATTCTTTACGCAACTTTTTAGATAGCCTGTAGGTACAGTATCGTTATATGGTTTGGCACCGAGGTAGCCAGCAGTTCGGATCCGCTTCCTTACAGCTGCACTAGGGTCGGACAGGCTTTGTGGAATTCAGCTCCATCTACATCGATTTTCCTAAGATCAAAACTTAAACAAATGTTAATAATGAAATGCTTATCTTGTACCTATGTTTGTCCACTGTAGTTGAGTGCCTTTGTTTGTTTGCTGAAATCCATACCTTTTTCAATAAACGTTAGTCCAATACAACCACTAAGGGCTCTACAGTGCTACCATTTTGGTCGCAAATGCACCTAAATATTTTCCTGTACTACCTGGAATGTTTATTTGGGAGCACCAGTGCTCCAGGGGGGAAAAACGATTTTGTAATTGCTGGCAATTTTATATTATTAATACCTCAAAAAAATAATGTTTCTGCTCCTACATTTCTTTTTTCTACTACATTTTCAGCTTAGGAGCACACGTGCTTCTTGTAAAAAAAAATGTCAGCATAGAGCCCTGCATCTGTTTCCCTGTTGCGATTCAATTGGCACATGCTCATTTGCGCTGAATTCCACAAAGCCTGGTCTGTGCTCCACTCAGTTGAGTTCATCAATCTTACTTCACCGTGGAGTTTAGTGGCTAGTTTTATATTGGATATTTGGTTTTTTTTCTTGTCAAAAGCAATTTAACCAAGCATGCCATGAATATTGTATATTCTGAATCGGGATGATTGAGAACGATCAACACCTTTTTTTATTTATTAATCTATACAAAAATCTAAAATTCACACAGATGTTGCATTGTTTTCCATCCCCGATTCAGAATATACCATTTTCATTGTCATGCTTGGTTCAGTAGCTATTGATGAGAAGGAACCGAATATCCAATACAAAATTAATTTTACCTCAGTGCCAACCTGAACCATATACCTACTGGCCCTCTTAAAAAGTCGGGTAATAATACTTTCCTGTAGATATTTTGAGCAGCTAAAGATCAAACTGCACAGACAACTGGTAGAGTAATTTTATTCGACGTTCTGGCTTGTAAGGAACACAATTTTACAGGCATTCGTTTCAGGCTGTATATACCAATTAATTGTGTATTAGAGCCTGATTTAATCAGACTTGATGTGTGGATGCTAGCAGCTTCTAGCTAGTTAGCTTCTGAATTGCAATGGCTACCCATTAGCTGTTAGGTAGAATGATTAGCTAATTTAGTTATAACTTCCTAAGATGGCTAGGTAGCTATTGCAAAATAGTTTGTTTACAATAGCTATGGAGATATTACTTGCTGATTTTAATGTTCACTTGTATAGCTAGCTACGCCAATAGGCAGGTAGCATAGCGGTTAAGAGCTGGTTTGAATCCCTGAGCAGGCAAGGTGTAAAAATCTGCCCTTGAGTAAGGCAGATCTGAACAACAACAACTGCACCCTGGACGCTGACATGGATGTCAATTAAGGCAGCCCCCCACACCTCTGATTCAGAGGGTTTGGGTTAAATGCGGAAGACACATTTCGGTTGAATGCATTCAGTTGTGCAACGGACTAGGTTTTCCCTAACCAGCCGAGAAAGCAAATGGCACGCTTTCTTGAAGCATGCATTCAATCCCCTGGTTGAGATATTGAAATAACTAGCTACAATAACTAGCTAGCTACTTGTAAATTGTTTCCCCAATAGTGTTTTATTATTAACTTGTAGCTAGCTAACAAGTCAAAGTATACTGGTCAAGTAGCTTGCTAACATAAGTACAGCCACTACAATGTGTATCCAGGGTGGGAAATTAACTTTTTGGTCCACCAGCCACTGGAAGGTAGATCAAAATAAAAAAACATGTTGAACCAAAACTCACACTAACGGATGAGCCTCCTTTCTAATGTTTGTAAAACAAGAAATGTATTTCTAGTAAGAAGTAATGTGGTGTATAGCTTAATTTCATTCTTGTGGCCTGCGACAAAAAAAATATACATTTTGTTATAATATTTATTTTGATGTTTTTTTATTTTACCCCTATTTCTCCCCAATTCCGTGATATCCAATTGGTAGTTAGTCTTGTCCCATCGCTGCAACTGCCCTACGGACTCGGGAGAGCCAATGGTCGAGAGCCATGCGTCTTCCGAAACACGACCCTGCCAAGTCGCACTGCTCACTTAACCCGGAAGCCAGCCGCAATGTGTTGGAGGAAACACCGTCCAACTGGTGACTGATGTCAGCTTACAGGCGCCCTGCCCGCCACAAGGAGTCGCTAGAGCGTGATGGGACAAGGACATCCCGGCCGGCCAAACCCTCCCCTAAACTGGATTACGCTGGGCCAATTGTGCGCCGCCTCATGGGTCTCCCGGTCACGGCCGGCTTTGACACAGCCTGGGATCGAACCTTGGGCTGTATTGATGTCTGCGCCACTCGGGAGGCCCCGTGACCTGCGTCTTTTAACCAATGTATGTTAAAATAGTCGAAACAGTTCTACAACTGAACATCAAGAATCAACAAAGTGCCTGCCCTGCCACAAATTGCTGAGTGATATGGCTAATTATTATAGTTCAGGGCTCTACGCTGACGTTTTTCAAGGAGTACGAGAACGAGCTGTGGCTCAAAGCAGCCTCAAACGTTTTCAGTCAGACATTCACGCTTGCCATACGGAGTTGAACTATCTAACCAACATTTTGAATTGAATAACATTGCTTGTGAACTTCAGAGTTGTAACAATTTGACGCTTTAGTTAAAGGCATGTACAAGCGCATAGCCTACTAGTAGTAGCAGGGCATAAAATTAACTCCCGCCAAATGCAGGTAGATTTAGGTATCGGCGTGTAAGAATGTATATTTCACCAGCCACGTTGGCGGGTGGTGAAGTGCAAGTATTACATTTGCTAATAAAAAGTCAAGTATGAGCATGTGCGAGTTAGTGTTTGAAAAATGCTGCAGTAGCTGTTTTCAAAGTATTTCTGCTGTTTTTGTTTCATAGCTGCTAATGGCACAAAGAAATACAAATACTATAACCCAACTGGCGCAGTAACGCTGCCTGGCAGGGGAGCTGTGCGCACTGAGTGAAGTGCTGATTCATTTTTGGAGGCATAAAAGTTGGTCTAATTTACTCAAGTTTACAAAGTGGAACTTTATCCTTATGTTTCTTGGCTATTTACCTTGTTTTGTTCACAAGCTAGTTTGTTTTTCAACGTTAGTCTGTTGCTTCAACTGATAGCGAAGAGACGCCCTACTCTGATCCCAAATCTCAGACTCGAGTGGCCCGTTACCGCAGTAACCCCCTGCCCTTAAAAGGGCAACTTAATATTGTCTCTGATATTTTGGTTAAAAGACTTGGGTCACAAAAAAATGAATCAAATGTAGCAATATACCACATTCCTTATTAATACATTTCTTGTTTTAGAAACATTTACAAAGCTTGGTCATCTGTTTTAGTGTTTTTTTTTTATGTAACTATGGCAAAAAAAATTGGGCTGGTAAAAGATCTGCGTGGCTGGTAGAATGTATTTTATATATATACACTACCATTCAAAAGTTTGGGGTCACTTAGAAATGTCCTTGTTTTTGAAAAAAAAGCTTCTTTTTTTGGGGTCTATTTTTAAAATAACATAATTGATCAGAAAGTAAGTGTAGACATTGTTAATGTTGTAAATGGCTATTGTAGCTGGAAGCGGCTAATTTTGAATGGTGTATCTACATAGGCGGACAGAGGCCCATTATCAGCAACCATCAGTCCTGTGTTCCAATGGCACGTTGTGTTTGCTAATCCAAGTTTATCATTTTAAAAAGGCTAATTGATCATTAGAAAACCCTTTAGCAATTATGTTAGCACAGCTGAAAACGGTTGTGCTGATTTAAAGAAGCAATAAATCCAGCCTTCTTGAGACTAGTTAAGTATCTGGAGCATCAGCAATTGTGGGTTCGATTACAGGCTCAAAATGGCCAGAAACGACTTTCTTCTGAAATTCGTCAGTCTATTCTTGTTCTGAGAAATGAAGGCCATTCCATGCGAGAAATTGCCAAGAAACTGAAGATCTCGTACAACGCTGTGTACTACTCCCTTCACAGAACAGCACAAACTGGTTCTAACCAGAATAGAAAGAGGAGTGGGAGGCCCCGGTGCACAACTGAGCAAGAGGACAAATACATTAGTGTCTAGTTTGAGAAACAGATGCCTCACAGGTCCTCAACTGGCAGCTTCATTAAATAGTACCCGCAAAACACCAGTCTCAACAGTGAAGAGGCGACTCTGGGATGATGACCTTCTAGGCAGAGTTGCAAAGAAAAAGCCATATCTCAGACTGGCCAATAAAAGATTAAGATGGGCAAAAGAACAGACACTGGACAGAGGAATATTGGAAAAAAGTGTTATGGACAGACAAATCAGAGTTTGAGGTGTTCAGATCACAAAGAACATTTGTGAGATGCAGACCAAATGAAAAGATGCTGGAGGAGTGCTTGATGCCATCTGTCAAGCATGGTGGAGGCATTGTGATGGTCTGGGGTTGCTTTGGTGGTGGTAAAGTGGGAGATTTGTACAGGGTTAAAGGGATCTTGAAGAAGGAAGGCTATCACTCCATTTTGCAACGCCATGCCATACCCTGTGGACGGTGCTTGATTGGAGCCAATTTCCTCCTACAACAGGACAATGACCCAATGCACAGCTCCAAACTATGCAATAACTATTTAGGGAAGAAGCAGTCAGCTGGTATTCGGTCTATAATGGAGTGGCCAGCACAGTCACCGGATCTCAACCTTATTGAGCTGTTGTGGGAGCAGCTTGACCGTATGGTACATAAGAATTGCCAATCCAATTTGTGGGAGTTGCTTCAGGAAGCATGGGGTGACATTTCTTCAGATTACCTCAACAAATTGACAACTAGAATGTCAAAGGTCTGCAAGGCTGTAATTGCTGCAAATGGAGCATTCTTTGAAGGACACTATTTCTATTAAAAATCACTTTCTAACCTTGTCAATGACTACATTTGCTATATTTCCTATTCAAACTAATTTCATGTATGTTTTCATGAAAAACAAGGACATTTCTAAGTGACCCCAAACTTTTAAACGGTAGTGTATATTTTTTCATCTACCTGCCACAGTGGCTGGTGTACCAAAACTTTTATTTAAGGCCCTGAGTTAGTCATCGCTCCTGCTCAAGTCTACACATTCTGGGTGATGCGAAACAACGTAATTTCACTGGCTTCTTCTCTGGCGAGCTCTCATCAGCAATAGTAATGGTGACTTTTTGTAGGCACAAACTTCGCCATGGCTCGTTGGTCAAATTTTATGGGGAAATTAATGTTTTTGTTAAATGCTGAAAATAAGGTCTGTGGTAAACACCGGCTTAGATCTTATAGGTTTTGTACAATGAGAATCCTCATCAGCTAGTGTCACATTTTGTGAATTTATGACGCATTTATGTAATCAAAACAAGCACAAAGGCTTCATAAAGGTCATGTTAACTGACTGATATCTCAGAACAAAACCTATAAAACTAAGCATGTGTTAACCCCAGAACTTATTTTCTGAATTTATTCCAAAACTCCCATTTACCCCATAGGAATAGCTGAACGAACCAGAGGTAACTAATATCTGTATTTTTAGGACTACAAGTTGGTGAGCATTTCACATTCTCAAAACTTTTCTTTGCACACCTCCCACTACGAGCGTTGAAGATTTTGTGCCGATAAAATCAAACGTTTGAAAATATCGGGACGGCTCAAAGACTGGATCGGTAGCCCTCAGATTGCGTCTCTGACCCGCTAACATTAAACAAGCGTCTGTGATTGCTGTGCCCCGAGTAGGAAACATGGGGATTTTGTTTTCCGATTTCAACTTGTCCTGGTAATCTAAATCGGGGCCAAAATCGTGTAGTGTACGCCGAACCTAGCTTATATTCAAGTTTTGAGTCGATAGTTATGTTTAGCAGGGTAAACTTATTTTGATATCATAATCTGTCACAGCACGTTTTTGTACTCATTCAGCATGTTATATATATATATATATATATATATATATATATATATATATATATATATATATATATATATATATATATATATATATATATATATATATATATATATATATATATATAAAAAAAAAAAAAAAGATTTAATTACAGTACCATTTGGACATTTTCATGTTCAAAGTATATTCCTTAAACCTAAGTTAAATGATGCTGTCGCTGCTTCCCGTTGACAAGACATTTTGATAAATAGCCCAATGTCAAACAGTTTAACGTGTCCAAATCAATAACCAATATGTAGAAAGAAAATATATTGAAACAAAATGTACTGTCTACACATACAGTACATGTAATGGTTACACCTTATGAACTGCAAACGCACCAAAAACCCTGTTTTGACAAGTGCCAATAAATCTCTTATCGATTGGGGGGGGGGGACTACACTACTGAAATCACACGGCATCTGGGAATAATATGTATATCACTGGTTGAAGACAGCCAGCTACATTTTGGATTGTTGCATTTTGTTTCAAGTGGGTAGACAACACGGAAAGGTCAACGCAACACTATTTTCTTAATCACTCATTGATATCACGTTGAACTCCAATAGTCCCCTGTAGCTCAGTTGGTAGAGCATGGCGCTTGCCATGCCAGGGTTGTGGGTTCGTTTCCCACGGGGGGCCAGTACGAAAATGTATGCACTCACTAACTGTAAGTCGCTCTGGATAAGAGCATCTGCTAAATGACTAACATGTAATGTAAAATGGGGCAAGAATGTGGGGTGTAGGTACTGTTTAAAAGGGGTTTGCCTTCATTTGAAAGATGACTAAACATGTGAGGAGTGGCCAATTTTTTTTGTTTCTTCTAGCCACAGGGGTCTGAAATCCCACTACAGACTGTGTATAACAAGCTGGTACTAAATCAAAGATATTGATCTGTTTTTAAGCAATAGGTTTTGGTCATCACGATCTTACAAACTTTAATACCAACATCACCAATCTGAGTTAAAAAGGATGTGTATTTCCTGTAACTCTTGTGGTGAAAACGTTAGTCTGTGTAATATAGTAACACGTTCTGTCCACCAATTATTATACTATATTTATATATAACATTCATAATATCAATTATTACATTACTATTTAGGATGATAGTAAATGAAGCACACTCACAGATTTTTACAACAATGACTTCTATTTCTCAATACTTTAACCATTGAGAGAGTTAAATGCTCCTAAACACAATTTAACCAGGCACTCTAGACAAGAGCTTACATAGTGACTGCATCAGCCTGAACCTTTGACATCCCTTAAAGGCGCTGCATGGTCAATCCGAAGTCTGCATTGGCCATGCAGCATTTACGGTGATACAGCCTCTGCAGAAGTCAGGGCATTCATACTTCTTGCATTTCACGCAGCAGCGCAGAGCTGTCAAGGAAGTGAGTTTGTGTTTATACACGACCTCCCGCCCCCACCTACCGTCAACCAATCATGTCAATGCGGCGCTATACGGAGCCCTCTGCATTGTTACAAAATTTGAGAGGTGCACAGAGATGCGGTACGGAGCTTGAGTTTGGCCTCTGCATGTCTCCGGAGGCTCCACAATTGCGTCACACCCTCCATACGAAGCCTCCGACCACATTTTTGGATCAAGCATAAATGGTCTCTTACCATGTTAAAATGTGTTGAAACAGTGCGCTTAACACATTGTCAGGAAGTGAAGCCACATTGTTTGATACAAGCGCTGCCTTCGCGCCTGGATGGGGTTGCAGTAGCTGCATTTTAAAAGGGTTAGGATTGGCTTAGTAACCCAGTTTCCCGCGCTATATTAAAATCAGCATGGCTTGAATGTTTTGCCTTGTCTTTGTGAATGGGAATTGAAATGACTTGAAGTCTTTCTTTACTGACATTGATTATTTATCCACTTGATCAATGGTATTACCGGTAATCAATAGTTGGCACAGTAATACAGTACTCAAAGGAAAGAAGTGGAGAAACATTGAACCACACTGCTCTTTCAACTCGACTGTATCAGGTGCCATGCTGCTGTTAACCCACAGTTTGGCTCCCTTTTGCACAGGGCAGCTGCAATGTGGATTCAAGTGCGCACCATGGATGGCAAGGAGACCCATCGGATTGACTCACTGTCCAAACTCACCAAGGTGGATGAGCTGCGCCTCAAGATCTCTGAGCTCTTCAAGGTTGAGCCAGAAAGGCAGAGGCTCTTTTACCGGGGCAAGCAGGTGGGGCAGATGGATTCTTCTGTTGCAATTCAGTTACAACAGGGTTGCTGAGGACCTTACTAATCATGTCTGAATATATATGTTCTGTTTCTGATCCCAGATGGAGGACATCCACACCATCTTTGATTACAACGTGGGGCTGAACGATATAGTGCAGCTGCTTGTTAGACAGGCTGCGCCCCCTGCTGCTGTCCTCAAGAGCAAGGACAAAGAAGCCGAGCTGTCTGACTCTGACTCTGGCTGTGGCTCGGCTCAGAGCGAGTCGGACAAGAGCTCGACCCACTGGGAGACAGAGGTGCAGGCAGCTGGCACCTCGGCCCAAGCCGACACACCAGACCTGGTCGACCCGGGATTTGGCTTTTACAAGGTAAACGTGGGGAACGTCTCTAAATGGATGAATATTTGCTGTACTGGTATCATTTGATGGGGTGAAAGGATGCTTTTAACTGGATAAATCTAAAATGGTAAATCTGCTTCAATATTGTGGCGCATTCTTGAATTGGCGTTGAATACAATAGAAGCAGGCTTAATTTTAAGTTGCAATACAGATTATTTTAAATCCGTGACAGTAGCATTGTATGGTTCACTTTACAGTATCATTTTTTAAATTTATTTTTCAGATTAATGAGTTTGTTGACGCCAGAGACTTGAACATGGGCGCCTGGTTTGAGGCCCAGATTGTGAACATTACAAAGACCACAAAGACACCTGGAGAGGAAGAGGGCTCTGATTCTAAACCCGGCGAAGAGGAAGTTATTCACTACCATGTCAAATATGAAGAGTGAGAACTTCCTCATGCATTCCATATTTCAAAGATCTGATTGGAGACATTATGCCTCATTGGTGACAGTGTTTTGACCGTCACCCTCAATGAACATGTATAGAAAAACAATTGAATGTCCGTGTGGAAGGTATTGCTGTCTATCGATGAGCTGGACCAATGGGGGCATTGCTTTTTGGCGCCAGGGTGTCAATACCACAGGGTACCACTTGGTTTCCGTATCCGCGGCAGAACACTATTTGTTCCATTTCCGTCTCCTACTCTGACTTTTTATGTATTGCTTTTTTTGAATGCAGTACCACTCCATCCATGTCTTTCCTGATAATAGTATATGGAAAAAATAATGTACAATTCCATAACACTGCAATTGGCAAATAAATACATATTTGTGCTTGATAATTTGCAACTTGCCCTTCCACATTGTATTGCTTGCAAGTGTAAGAACCGGAGGAACATTGAATTGAACGATGACTCGTATTACTCGATGTGTTTCCAGCAGTCAAGGCTCTCAGAATTTAAACACTTATTTGACCCGCTTCTGTTCTCCGATATGTCAATCATCTTACAAAAGCCCCATTATGTAGGAAGCACCTGCTGTGTATCTGGGCTGAATACTGACACTGCCTCTGTCTGTGTGGTCTCTCTAGCTACCCAGAGAACGGCGTGGTGCCGCTGCAGTCCAAGGATGTGCGCCCACGCGCTCGCACAGTCTACCAATGGCACCAGCTGGAGGCGGGCATGGTGGTCATGGTAAACTTCAACCCAGACGAACCCAAGGAGCGCGGCTACTGGTATGACGCCCAGATCCAGAAGAAGAGGGAGACGCGCACTGTGCACGAGATCCATGCCAAAATACTGCTTGGGTAATATATGTTAGTCTCAGCTGTAAGCCCCCCCCCCCTTAAATGTTCATACCATGATGGTTATGGCATTAAAGGAGTGACTCATCTGATTGAATGGTGTGTTCTATTGATTTGTTGAAATGCATTGATGACTTGTTATACATTATTGATCTACACAGTATGGGTTGTACTTTAGTATTATGTTAATGTCAAAGTTTTGCCATTTATATAATTGTTTTGCATATTAGGACCATGAAGGGTATACTAAGAGCTCATGTTTATTTCAGGGTTGCCGGTGACTCCCTGAACGACTGTCGCATCATGTTCTTGACTGAGATCTACAAAATCGAGGAGCCTGGCGCCTTGGATGGATCTGGAGCGGGATCTGATAGCCCATTGAAAAGTAAGTTGGAGCTGTTTGCAGGGCTTTAAATAAAATGTAATTGGTAGCAATTTAAAGTTAGGAGACTTAAATGTATTGAGATACAGCCTATATTGGGCCTATAAGAATTCAAGCTACTTTTGAAGCCCTAGAGACAAATGTAATCCTGTAAAGACATGTTTATTATAAAAGCTAAAATGTTGCTACAAATACCTGTCATTGAGATATACAAAGTAATTTGTGGAATATTAGGTTTCTACAATGTGTAAAAAATAAGTATTTCCTATTGAGATGCATTAAATTGTTCACTGTCTAAGTCAGGGGTGTCAAACTCATTTTAGCTCAGGGGCCACATGGAGGAAAATCTATTCCCAAGTGGGCCGGTCCGGAAAAATCATGGTGTGTGTGTGTATATATAACTTAAAAACAACAACTTCAGATTGTTTTCTTTGTTTTAATACGATCAACATAAAGCTGGAGCCTGAGGACAGTGTGTCCAAAATAGTACAAGCACAACATCACTATTAATCATAAAACACGTCAAGTTTATTTGAAAATTCTAAAGAAAAAGAACACACAAACACACAATGCCTCAGTGATTAACAGAACTGTTTCACAGATCACAGAACTATATCAGGGTGTCATTTCTCAGGCAGAAATGTAGATAAAAATAATGAAATCCTGTTCCCCAAACAAGTGCAAGAACCACAGAGTCAAGAATAGGTTAAATATACAAATAAAATCTATTAAAAACAATAGCACATCAACATAAAAACATATAAACATAAATCTGAAAGCGTTGCTCAAACTCCCGTAACAGTCCAGTTATTTTATCTTTGAACCGCTTCATGTCTGCCACATGTTGGGTCACGCACACATTTTTCAGACAGGGGAAGTGAGCTGCATCACCACCGGCAAGTTGCGTCTCCCACAATGACAGCTTCAACTTGAAAGAACGTATGCTGTCATAATACTGCGTGACAACTTTGTTGCGCCCTTGCAGCTGTTTGTTCAAGTTATTCAGGTGCTCTATAACATCCACCATAAATGCAAGGTCCGGCATCCATTCTGCGGAATGAAATTCTAACAATGGTTTGCCCTTTTCTTCCATGAACTGTTCAATTTCTTCTCGTAAATCAAAGAAACGCCTCAGCACAGCACCTCGGCTTAACCATCTTACCTCAGTGTGGTATGGCAGGCCATAGATGTGGTCTTTCTCTCTGAGAAGGCTGTCAAACTGACGGTGATTCAGGCTTCTGGATCGGATGAAATTAACAGTTTGGATGACCACCTTCATGACGTTATCCATCTTTAATGACTTGCAACACAAAGCCTCCTGGTGCAAAATACAGTGAAAAGTCAAAAAATCACGTCCTCCATTTGCAGATTGCACTTTCTCTCTGAACTTTGTCACAACGCCTGCTTTTTTCCCGATCATTGAGGGCGCACCATCTGTAGCCAGGCTGACAGCGCGGGACCAGTCCACTCCGACCCTGTCCAGCGCGCCGACGAGTGCGGTAAAAATATCAGCTGCTGTCGTTGTATCTGACATCGGCACCAACTCCACGAACTCCTCTGTGACGGTCAATGTGTCATCAACTCCGCGGATGAAAAAATGGCCAGTTGTGCAACATCTGTAATGTCCGTGCTTTCATCAATTGCAACCGAAAACACAATAAATGACTTTACTTTTTGCTTCAACTGGCTGTCCAAATCCACTGAAAGATCGGAAATCCTGTCTGCAACTGTGTATCTTGTCAGGCTGATATTTGCAAAAGCCTGCCGCTTTTCAGGGCACACAATCTCCGCTGCCTTCATCATGCATGTTTTTACAAATTCACCCTCACTAAATGGTTTTGAAGCCACTGCGATTTCATTAGCAATGAGGTAGCTAGCTTTCACTGCAGCGTCACTGATGTCTCGGCTGTGAGAAACACAGACTGCTGTTTCTTCAGACCCGCCAACAGTTCATTCACCTTCTCTCATCTCCGCTGTCCTTGAAAGTTGTCATATTTGTCGGCATGAAGACTCACATAGTGGCGACGAAGGTTATATTCTTTCAGCACTGCAACATGCTCTGAACACACCAAACATACAGCTTTCCCATTCAATTCCGTGATTAAATAGGATGACCATTTTTCTTGGAACACTCTGCACTCTGCGTCCACTTTTCTCTTTTTTGACAGAGACATATTGGGGCAATGAGGGTGCCAAAGCACATAATGTTAAAAGTAGAAGCCGTAATAAATATCGCGGGCAAAACAAAGTAGCTCATTGGCTGCACGTGCTTGACCTACTTGCTCTGCCCCGGTATAAACAGTTTGCTTGCTTAACACAATTGCTATTGCGCCATCCAGTGGACGCAATTGGAACAGCAGTTTATTTTATTGAAAAATTGCAGCGCATTTTTATACTTTAATTTTTTTATTAATTTTTTTAAAAATCATCTCGCGGGCCGGATTAAACCCGTTTGCGGGCCTGATCCGGCCCGCGGGCCGTACGTTTGACACCCCTGGTCTAAGTGTAAATTTGAGTGAAGAAATGCAAGAGATCTGTCTGCTTGCTATGATCATTGATCTCCTGAAAATAAGCAATGGCTGAATCCCAAATCATCCCCTTTCCCTTCCCCTCGGCCCTCCATTTGCGCGTTCACTCGCACCTCCGCCATATGCACTAGTGTCATATGTTAGAAAACGACAAGACACTATTGTTACCATAGAAACTCTGGGATTAATGTAAACTAGGTTCATGATGCATAAGATGAATGTTAGTTGCTATGGCTGCACACCAACCTCTTAGTGGTTTGCAAAGTACTTACCATATTTTGTATGCTTATGTAGATACATCCAATACACTGGTGCAGCTCTTACAGGAGGGGTTACAGTACCCATAACGTTTTTAAGTAAAAGGGCTGACGTTCTCTTTGCTCCTGCTCTCTCCAGGGTCAAACGGACCCGAGTGCAAACACTGCAAAGACGACCCCAAGAAGAACTGCCGCTGGTGCAACTGCCATGTGTGCGGCGTGAAGCAGGACCCGGACAAGCAGCTGCTGTGTGACGAGTGTGACATGGCCTTCCACATCTACTGCCTCAACCCCCCACTGACCAGCCTCCCCGATGACGACGACTGGTTAGTATAGACCCATTTCCCTGCCACGTTTTGAAAAGTTGCATAGCAGTGGATACAATCACATGCAACTTCAAAAGCAGCTTGTGCAAGTAACATGTAATCAGATGGTTATCGTCTATGTCGCAAAGTCATCAGATAATTTGATTATCTAGCAAGGTTAAATATCACAAATGGAGCTAGATAAAGCCAGAAGAATACTTGTTGAACCTCGCTATAGCCATCAGTCTTAGGTGTTTTCATGGTCATCGCTCACTCACTGTTAAAGGAACAATCCACTCAACTTTTGGTATTTGTTTCATTCGTCCACTGTTGATACAGTCCCAAAATGTTTGCATGTCAGCAATCAAGTTTTCAAGATGTAGAACTTTCAAAATGCAAATTGTCATAGCTAGTGTGACGCGTTTTGCATCTTATGATGCAAAACTCATCATACCGGCTGTATTTCTGCCTACTTGAACGGCAATGGCTCAAATGAAAACATGAAAAGACCCTAGGAATCGATAGAACATCGCTGAGAGATTCACAAAAACAATATAACATTCAAAATGCATCATACTGTGACACTTTGTATTATGAAAGTTCTGTATCTTAAACTTGATTGCTGACATGCAAAACATTTTGGAACTATCAACCGTGGACTAATGAAACTAATACCTAAAGAGTTTTTGAGTGGAATCTTTAAGTTTGTCAAGGTCCCCTGTAGCAGGATCGCTTATGCGATCCTGCTACAGAGCGTTTTGGTACAGGGATGCGCGCGCATCACTCGTACTTGACGTCTGTTTGTAAACACACACATTGGTCTATACTACAGTACTGCTGTCTGGGCTGGTATTCTGTCCGTCTGGCCATTGTCCGCTTCTAGAGCTGCTTATGTGATGGTCTTAGTCATACCAATGTGTCAGATGGCACTTAAACTGTTTTTAATTGGAGTTTGAGGTGAGCATGTGATGGTTTCTTCAAGCTGTTTTGATTTGGCCATTTTGAGTTGAGCATTCAGTTGAGTGGCTTTCTATCGTGAGCACAAGTTCATGGTGTACTGTACAAATGACTTGAACATTTCTGTCAGATCTCTTTGCACAGAGAACACCCACGGATGCTTGTGTAGCTCTCCCTGGTCTCCATATCTGTGCTACAGTGAAGTGTGGTCTGTTACCTCTGCATTGGGGGAGCTGCCTTCTCTCCTACATGTATTCAGCGGACCAGCACAACTCTTTCCCATGCCACTGTTAACTCTCTACATGTGTGATGCAGTGGTTTTGTATTGCATCACACATTTTGGCTGTTCTGTTGTTGCCTGCTTGTTCTGATCTGTATTTATTTAAATCCCGCTAGGTATTGTCCCGAGTGCCGCAACGATGCCAGTGAGGTGGTGCTAGCAGGAGAAAAACTCAAGGACAGCAAGAAGAAATCCAAGATGGCGTCCGCCAGCTCAACCAGCCAGAGGGACTGGGGAAAGGTAAGCGCATTGAGAAATGGGGCAGGGGAGGGTGTACCTCTTAGTGGAAAAAGTACAGTGGCCGTGTCCGAATAACTGTACTTGCGCTCTAAATAGTAGGCATTTTGGGAATGCAAAAAATAACGTTTTTATAATATGTGACATTTTCTAAAATGTATTATGCTTTAAATGCCAGGTTGTCGTGCACATTTAGGCTTTTCATCTAGTCGAATTCGTTGCACTCTCTTCAGGAAGAGAATCCTCTTGAGACCCATGTGTCTGACAACAGCTAAGGGGACGCGCTATGCCAAATTGCACGAATGGAGGGAATAAACGCAATTCCACATTAATGACTCATTCTCAGTAGGATGAGCTTAGAATGCTGATATTTGTTGTGTACTCCCTTTTTTTACTAAACAGTATGTTCTAAATAATGTTGTACAATTAGTATACAGTTTAAGTAAGTAGGCAAGCTAGATTTAAGACATGGCCACTGTCACGCTTCTAAACCGTACATCGATTTGTTGTTAGTTGAGTACATTCTTGTGTTTTTACACTACATCTTCTCCTATCAGGGCATGGCTTGTGTTGGCCGAAGCAAGCAGTGCACCATCGTCCCTTCCAACCACTACGGCCCTGTCCCTGGCGTCCCCGTCGGAAGTATTTGGAAGTTCAGGGTCCAGGTGATTTGTCTTCTTTTTGCAATAGGCTGAAGAGGAAAGCGATAACTGCAGTCCTTTTTTGGATAATGTACTCAAAGAAATTCTAACATAATTTGACCATGTTGAAATATACTTTTTACATTATTTTTCAATGACTAGGTCCTGGTAGGTTGTCCGCTGACATTTTCGCTCCTCTATTTTTGTTTTGGCAGGTGAGTGAGTCTGGTTGCCACAGGCCACATGTTGCTGGGATCCACGGGAGAAGCAACGATGGAGCTTACTCCCTAGTGCTGGCTGGGGGCTATGAAGACGACCAGGTATTTAGACTATCTTCCATATTGCATATCGCAGGAGGCTGCCGAGGGGAGGACGGCTCATAATAAGGGCGTGAATGGAATGTTATTAAACACATGGAATGGTATTAAACACGTTTTTTTGATACCATTCAATTTATTCCATTCAAGCCATTACTATGAGCCCGTCCTCTCCAATTAAGGTTCCACCGGCCGCCTGTGGTGCACGTCATGTACATCTATTACAAGCCCCCATCCCAACAAAATAGCTGCAGGGTTGGAACACTAAGCATGAATGGTCACTGTACTAATGCTGGTTTTCAATTGGTCCCAGGATGACGGCAACGAGTTCACCTACACCGGCTCTGGAGGGCGCGATCTGTCTGGCAACAAGAGGACAGCCGAACAGTCGTGTGATCAGAAGCTCACCAATATGAACAGGTTAGTGAGCAAAACGAATCAGATCTTTTTGCACAGAGAACACCCACGGATGCTTGTGTAGCTCTCCCTGGTCTCCATATCTGTGCTACAGTGAAGTGTGGTCTGTTACCTCTGCATTGGGGGAGCTGTCTTCTCTCCTACATGTATTCAGCGGACCAGCACAACTCTTTCCCATGCCACTATTAACTCTCTACATGTGTGATGCAGTGGTTTTGTATGAGGGGGAAATTGGTGATATGCAGAAGGCCGGGCTTATTGGCTTTGCATGTCTATGCCTCTTTTGAGCACTGGTTTGTGACTGTTTTTAACAATCGTGACTTGTTCTAGCAATTCCCCTTTTATTGAATCGCTAGAACTCTAAATTATTCAAATAGGACATATGAACTTATGTTTAAACTGTGAGTGTATTTATTTGATTATTCACTGCAGTCCACAATTTGATTCTCATTTGAATTAACCAATCTTAATTTGCCTGTGACCCAGGGCTCTGGCTCTGAACTGCAACGCATCGGTGAACGAGAAGGACGGGGCCACTGCAAAAGACTGGAAGGCAGGCAAGCCGGTCAGGGTGGTGCGCAGCTCCAAGGGCCGCAAACACAGCAAGTTCAGCCCGGAAGACGGCAACAGATACGACGGAATCTACAAGGTGGGAATTCTTGTTTTTTATGTTTCATGTGAAATTAGGTTCCATTAGGCTTGGGCGTTATACTGGGGTATTTGGAAAAAAACACAGGATGGTTTTTCAATACCGTCAACTATTTATTTGAAGTTTTTCAATAAATTTGAATATTTGTAGCTACTTTTTAAGTTAATACCTGCAGTCAACTTGTGCAATACGTTTTTGAGATAATGCAGATTGCGTTCTTAATTTCACCTGTCACATTATGAAGCTTACCGTAGTTCCCCAGAACAGTTGAGCCAGTCACGTGTTTGTAAATAGCACGGCGGGAGCTGGTGAGTCCATAGCATTCTATATCCATCGGCGAGTCTGTTGTGCGGCGCACATGAGGTGAAGTTGCACTTGAATGCAATTCACTACTAAATGTTTTCAATCATATCTTATGGCTTTCTGCCAGAAGTCAAAGAGCTCTGGATTTCTTCCCTGTGCTTCCAACTGTCACGAGAATTTCTATCTCTAATTAATCAAACGTAATGCTCTGAATAATTCCCAGAGGGTGTAAATTCTCTGGTTTAATCATGAATTAAACAAAGGTCCGCAACCAGCAAGAATGATCTGTATTTTTAATCATGGAGAGCTCTGGCGCCAAAAAACATACATACAGCTTTTATACCCCTTGACACACAAAGGCACTTTGCTCCGCCCACCTTTAAACCGTTTCTTAGTCCCCTTCACCCTGGAATGCTTTCTCAACAGTTTCTAACTCCTCCCCCTCTGTTAGTGGGTTGACACTACATTATAACTCTTATACCGTTCACACATTTATACTGTATTTGGGGTGAAATCCTTTAGTCATTATTCTTAAAATACAAATTAATCTATCACCAACTAGTGTTTTTATTTTTTTTGCTGTCTTCAGAACCGCATGCATCACAATTTGTATTAATTTGCACAATTTCTCTCATTCACTTTAGTTGTAAATGTCCACGCATTTAGCTAACAGCGTCTGTGATTTCACAATTAGTTAGCATATTTTGTTAGCATTCTGGTAAAGATCCCAATGGGCTCTTCTTGCATTTTTTAGCCCCCTTGTGTGCTATGCCGGTAATACCGTAAATCCCGGGATGAGAAAAGGACTATGAAAATCGGGATACCGCCCAAGCCTAGGTTCCATATGGTCCTCTGTAATGTAACCCTATTAGCAATTTACAAGCCTGTTTCCATTATGTCTTATCTCTGCATTAGTCACACATTAATACCAAGTGTAAATGGGGTCTCCGTTCCATGCGGACTATTCAAAATGCCCGCCTCTTTTCCAGGTGGTGAAATACTGGCCAGAGAAGGGCAAGTCCGGCTTCCTCGTCTGGAGGTATCTTCTCAAGCGAAATGACGACGAGCCAGCGCCATGGACCCGGGACGGCAAGGAACGCATCAAGAAACTGGGACTCACCATGCAGGTAAAGTGACATGGATCATCCTGTAAAATGTCCAGTATGAAGGTTTTTTTGTCGACCTGACCAAATTCACATAGAAATGTGAGTTATAGATCTGTCATTCTCAATGATAGCAAGTCTTAATGTTTATTTATTTTTTTAAAGCAAGTCTATGTGGAGGATCTGTTTTTGTGCGCTGTTAAGTTTTGCGTTTTTTGTCTTTCGGTTTTGTACACCAGCTGAAAATACGATATATTGGGTTTTTGAAAAGAGACATCACAATACTTAGATGCCGATATGTATTGCGATTCGATATTGTGATTTGATGTTCAAAACATATTTATTATTAGGTTCACCCATCTTAGTACTGGGTCGGACCCCCCTTTTGCCTCCAGAGCAGCCTGAATTCTTCAGGGCATTCTAGAAGGTGTCTGAAATGTTCCACAGGGATGTTGGTCCATGCTGATGCTATGGCATCACAGTTGCTGCAGATTGGACGGCAGTACATGCATGCTGTGAACATCTCATCCCAAATATGCTCTATTGGGTTTAGGTCTGGGGACTGCTCAGGCCACTCAAGTAAACTGAACTCGCAGTCATGTTCCAGGCAACATTTTTCCGCTCCTCAATTGTCCAGTGTTGGTGATCGCGTGCACACTGGAGCCGCCGCTTCTTGTTTTTAGCTGATAGGAGTGGAACCCGTTGTGGTCGTCTGCTGCAATAGCCCATCCGTGAGAAGGATCAAGTTGTGCGTTCCAAGATGCCGTTTTGAACACCACTGTTGTACTGCGCCGTTATTTGTCTGTTTGTGGCCCACCTGTTAACTTGCACGACTTTTGCCCTTCTCCTTCGACCTCTCTCATCAACGAGCTGTTTTTGCCCACAGGACTGCCGCTGACCGGATGTTTTTTGTTTGTCGCACCATTCTTTGGTAAACCCTAGACACTGTCGTGCATGAAAAGCCCAGGAGGGTGGCCATTTCTGAGACGCTGGATCCGGCGCGCCTGGCACAGACGATCAAACCACGCTCAGTCTCTTAGGTCACTCGTTTTGTCCATTCTTGTGTTTAATCGAACAGCTAACTATTTAAAAAGATGGAGAACAAGGTATATGATGAAAAATACAGGAGTTTTGGCGCAGGTACAGCTGACTAGCGCTAGCTAATGCTACCTAGCTTTTTATTTCTAACGAATTGGAGTCAAATCAATATAATATCGTCAAAATAATAACTATGTAACTCTAGAATTTAAATATTTGTTTCATCACTACTACACAGCGGTTTAGATTGGTTTAGACTAGAGACTCATGGTACATGCATTGCTTGTTTTGTGACTAACTGAAATTAGGTGAACATGAGAGAATTTTCGCAACCAGGTAATGACAGAGCAATTTCTACATATTGTGCCTTTTTATTAACTAGCTCAGGTGATAGTGCAGTTTATGCGTTTTGTTTTGAGGAATATCTTTGGTTTCAGTATCCTGAAGGCTATCTGGAGGCCCAGGCTGCCAAGGGGAAGGAGAAGGAGAACAAGGAGAAAGAGAACGAGGAGGTAACTGAAACACCCACCAAAGGGAAGCGGAAAAGAAAGTCTCAGTCTAATGGTGAGTGACTTCAAAGTAGCTCTAGAATAGCTTTAACCACACGACACTGGTAGCTTTCAGATTTCCAACTGAGAATACAGCTGCAAATTGCTAATTTAACAGGCTGTTCTCACCTTTCTAATCAATTATGGTTGTATTGACCCTGGATTAAGATTAAATGTGTTCTTAATTTCACCAGAGTGTCAGAAGACATGTGGTCTTTTGTTGCAGAAGCTGAAGAGAAGTCGTCGCCAGCCAAGCGCACTCCCAAGAAGATGAAGGTGGAGGCTTACAAACTGACCAAAGAACAGAAGGCCTGGATCAAGGATGACGAGCCCAACAGGAAGGTGTGGGACGAAGCCATGGAGTCTCTGGCCCTTGGCCCGGTAAGAGAAGCCTTTCCAGATTTCACACTATTGGAATTGATGCTGATGCAAAGCCAATGGGTCTTGAAGTGACCATCTGAACTAGGGTTATCGCGATACTACTATACCAGATTTTCCTTAACAAAGCAATCTAAACGCTATGTTTTTTTTTTTTTTTAATCTACTTTATGTGAAAGATTGTGTGCTATAGCTTGCAAAATAAACACGTGACCGGGTGACAAAAAGGCTGTTTTTTTTCCATCATTAGGACTGTTTTCCTCAAGAAATTAAGTCTTCTTAGTTTCCTTTTCTTCCTAGTATTGTGATACTGGTATCCTTACAACCCTAATCTGAACCTTAGAATGCAGCAAGCATTGGTGTTGTTGAAATGCTGTTTTTTTTCAATTGTCTTCATCACTACACCGATATAAAAAATATATATAAGCTTAGGTGGTGTATAGACATGGATCATCCTGTAAAATGTCCAATACGTAACGTTTTGGGTGACGTGACCAAATTCGCATGGAAATGTGTTATGGATCTGTCATTCTCATTGAAAGCGAGTCTAATAAGCGGTAGATCTGTTCTATGTGCGCTATTTCTATGCTTCCCATTCTTAAGTTTCCTTTTTGCGTCTTTTACTTTCTGTTTTGTACACCAGCTGAAAATACGATAACTTTGGTAATGGAAAATATATTTCACAGCAGTTTAGATGGTGTACAATGATTCTCTACACCAGGGGTCTCCAAACCTTTCTATCATGAGAGCTACTTTTTTTTATTTATTACATGTCACAAGCTACAATGTATTTTTATAGCTTTTAAATAGGCACATTCTTCTCTTCTCACCTGTAACTCATCCCCAGATCCTTGGTGTACAAGAGATTTGTTTTCTGTTAATATACCTGGTAAAATAATGGTTAATAAACTATATTTGGCCTGACTGGCCCCATAAATCTCTTGATTTTATTTTTCCTGGTTTGGGATTATTGTTATTACAATTATTCATAGAGAAACAATGTAAATGTATGTTCTGAGTCCATGTCAATGCTTAAATCGCATTAGAAGACCATTTGAGGTCTGGAAAAACTAACAAATTTGGATTTGAGTAATTCCCCATTTAATTGCGCATTTAGAAAGAGGAATGTGTTGGTCTAGCGACGTTTCTGTTGGGCCTACTGCTGCATCACGTCATGGCAGAGTTTGTAAAACAATGGCCACCCAGTTGATACAAATAATCATAAAATAGTTCTCAGGTAAGCCTACTTTGCAGTTAACATTTAATTTGAAAGGTTTTTGGGGAAAGTCTACCCACAAGACTGTTATCATTATCATTGCTAACTGGCTACATAAGGAGTGATAAACGCGCACACCAAACAGACATACAGTGGCAATATCACTGGAAATGTATTTGCAGATACTGTTACGGGTAGCTTTTTTTAAGCCAATAGTGGCTAACCAGGGGTGGGATAATGTCAATGTGGGTTTGGAAAGTAGCCGGGAGCTTTATGTATATGACAGTTTGTGATGGAACAAATGGGGGAGAAAAATACATGTACTTTCAGAAACGCTTGGCGAGCTACTCAAAGGTGGATCTACCTGTTCGAGACCCCTGCTCTACACTATACTTGCTTGTTTTGTCACAAACTGAAATTAGGCAAACTATTAGAATTATAGCAACCAGGAAATGGCATGCATTAAGACTTGGAACCTTTTTTTTGAATGTCCATATCAATCTCCTCACTTACCATGGTTTGGGTACTAGGTACTTAACAGTTACTTTTGCTTTTCCAGAAATTCCTGAACAAAGTTGAGGAGGTTTTCTTGTGTATATGCTGCCAAGAAGTGGTATTTCAACCTATCACCACCGAGTGCCAACACAATGTCTGCAGGGTAAGTTGATCTTCTTTGCTAGCCTTGCACTGAGATTTTGCCTTTCCATCCATTGAGCGCAAGAAAAATTGAGCAAGGTATTGAAAGGTGCATTTTTCATTTATTTTAGGAATGCCTTCAGCGGTCTTTCAAGGCAGAGGTGTACTCTTGCCCAGCATGCAGGCACGATCTGGGCAAAAACAACCCAATGACTGTCAACAAACCCCTCCAAGCCATTCTCAACCAGTTCTTCCCAGGATACAGCAGTGGACGGTGATAACTTGTTCCAGCTGCTTGACCAGCATGGGGAGTACATGAACTATGAGGGCAGTTAAGCAGTACAGGCAAAAAAAGTAACTTTTCTTAATATATTTAGCAAATGTAAAACGCAGTCTGTTTGGTGGCTGAAATGCCACCTCAACTTCTCCGGTCCTATTTGTAACGAACTGTAGCTATGAAACTGCCTTGATCAAATGTATCTGTAACGTTCTTCTGTTAACAATGCATTATAACTTGACTTGCCAAAATCAAGTTGAATTCCTTCAAGCACATGCAGTTTTTTAAGATGTCTACAATATGTATACTTAGCAGAACATTTTGGAAAAGCAGATGTTAATCAATTGCATACATTTGTATTTAGGAAACACTCTTTATAGAATGTACATTTTATATTCTAAGTTTTATGTCCAATAGTACTGTCCCTAGCTCGTGTATTTTATAAGTGAAGCACAACTGATAAATCCGTTACAACCCCATTTTGAGAAAATGTCCTCCATATCCCGGGCTTGAGTTAATGTCCTGATCTTAGATTGTGCCTGCCATTACTCAATGGCTTGTTTTACATGTAGCCACTGCTTGACGGTGTAATGTAGCATCGGGCGTTGCTGCATCCACAACGACTTGTGCTTCAGTACATGGCTGTGGGCTATAGTAGAAGGAATTATGGGTTTGGATTTGATATTGAACCTCAAATATTATTTTATTTTGTATTAAAATGATTTAGTTATGGTGATGTGATCATTTTAGGTGTTGAATTAACAATCCGGTAACGTACTTACTTTAAAATGAATGTGTTTACTCTTTAAGAAACCTTTTTTTTTTTTTCATTTATTTTACCATGTGTTATCTGATGGAGTTGCTGAACATTTGATTTTAAATTTGAGCAGAGCAAAAATACTCCACAGAAACGTATACCTTTTCACTAATCTATAAAATTGTTGATTTTTCTATTGTTCCAATTTTGTAGTTATTATCCACTAATTGTAAAATGTATTTCACCTTAACCCTTTAACTGCTGTCTAAGCACAAGGTTTCCATCTGAACAAACCCAAAGATGTAAAACGTGTAACCATTGTAGGGTTGCGCACAATACCCTGTTTAGGTGTTCCATGAAACACTTTGATTTAAGGCAGGGCTGTGGAAAACTTAAACATATAGCTCTGTTGAACTTCACCCTAGTTGTTCAACAGAAAAATATTTAATATCCAGAAATTTAATTTAACTCAATTTCATATTTCTGTGTGTTTTATTGCTAAATGAATGCCAGTGGCTGCAGATGTTAGTAATACCTCAAATATTTACAACATTTGCATAGACTGGAAATGTATATTTTCAAATTGTGTATATTTTTACCATTTGTTTTTGTAGTTTTAGAAGTAACTTCCTTGCACATGTTTTCCCAAGTGCAGAATTTCCCAATAAATCTTAATACTTTTTTAAATAATAAAAATAGCTAAATTGAAATGTAACTGAAATATAAAGAATGTAAATGGTGCCTTTTGTTCAATGTTATGATTACTGTCTTTTTTTTTTTTTACAATAAGAATTGCATAGAGAATTCAGAATGTCCATTTGAAACTGCTTGTTTGTTATACTGCCATGTATTACAATACATTCTTGGCACGCATTGCCTGGCTGAAATCCATAGGTTTTCGCTACCATTATTAAAAGTATGTACACGTCTTTCTTATTTTATTTTTTTCAAAGGATGCTGCACTGTTCCTAATAAAATGGCTACATTTGGATCAATTGTACATTTCTTCAGAGAAGCACCGTTCAGAGGACTTTTGTAGTACACGTTTATGTAATCCTTTTTTGGTATTGCGAAATGACGCTTCCTTGAGACTAACCCCTTCAAAACCGGAGAACGTTGATTTAGCTCTTGCTATTGGTTAATCTATCCATTTATCAACGAGATCAGCCAAAGAAAACCATAGTGAATACCTACAAACATGGTCTGGCCAATCACTGAGCTGAAGCTCGTGAAGGAGGGCATGAGCCCGAGCTCGTCTGTGTGCAACCAAGTAGCTAATGCTCAACGGTAATCGATCGTGTGGATTTTATAAAACGAGAAATCGATTGAGAAAAATAAAGAAAGGAACATAATTTGCTGCAGGAGGTAATGTATGATTTGCTCATTTTTGGTGGGATCAAGTGCATTTAGATACACATGTTATTTCCGAAGTGATCTAAACAGTTGTAGCTAGCCTAAGCCAGCAGCAATGGTGGTGCGGTTGTTTTGTTGACTTTTATGGAATGAGGAAGGCAGCCTGCTGACTGTGCACGGGTTGTAGAGTACAACAGAGTACTGGCTGTCAAAATTCAAATGAACTCCGAAACGGTCATTCGACACGTAACGTTTGAGAGTTTACCAACAGTTGAAATTTGCGTTTTCTTACAGGTAGTGTAAGAACACCAATTTTAGCTAGCAAATAGCTGTAAGAAATTTCAGCTGTGGTTTGCTAGCGCCAAGTAGCTAACGTTAGCTTAGCTTTAATTACGTATCTCTGGCACCCAGGTAGTTAGCATGTATCGCTTACATGAGTAACACCACACAATCGTTTTTGATCGATCCATAACATGTCATGCTAGTAAACCACTGTTCGTTCTGAATATCGAGTTTGCTAGGTACGTCAAGACGGTCATCATACTTGTGCACGCGAGCTATTTCTGCACGTAGCTAGCTAGCTTGCTTGCTACCTTGAAATACGTGCTAGTATGCTAGCGTTACAAATAACTCGCGAGTCCATGACGCTATTCATGTCTTTACTTTCAATTCCTTTAATACGTTTGCCAGTTTAGTCAGTGTGTTAGTACTAGCTACAACTGATAGCTCCTCTAATATTTGCGAAGATAGTTGGCTAGCCAGTCAGAAAACGTTATTGGCTTTAAGTTCGCTGTTTTTTTTTGTTATAGCCAGCTGTAACTGCCTGGCATGCGTCCTGCCATACCATAGCAACATGCAGAATTTAGAAAAAAGTGTATGAATAAATTTAAGAACAAGGTTAGTGAGTGCTTTTCAATGTCTTATCTCAAGAGTATTTACAATGAAAATGAAGAAAAAATATAATGTAGGCAATAAATAAAAATTGTATAGTAATAACATCACAAAGAGTTTTAAGAAGTGACAGGATAAACGTGTTTTGATTATAGATTAAATGTGTTTTAATAGGTATTTAGATGTATAGTAAATATAACATCGTATAGTTAAAGGAGCAATCTGGGATTGGTAGGCTACATCCTAACCCGTTCATAGACACTAACTACATTTAGCGCCTATTGACGATAGTAACAAAGACAGTACAGTATGAAGATAGGCAGAAACTGCTTCTCCAATAGAAATCCCTGATCACGCTTGTAGGCGATGTCATGGTGACATTGGCTAGCTAATGCTGTGTTCACATGCTAGTCGGAACTAGGGAAGTCGGAAATGTCCGACCTGTTAATTGTTTATATAACTGTTAACTGGCCTCCACCCATTACCCTGCCCTGAACTTAGTCACTGTCACTAGCCGGCTACCACCAGGTTACTCAACCCTGCACCTTAGAGGCTGCTGCTCTATGTACATAGACATGGAATCACTGGTCACTTTAATAATGTTTACATACTGTTTTACTCATTTCATATGTATATACTGTATTCTAGTCAATGCCATCCTATTCAACTATTGCTGTATATATACTATTCTATCCTACGTATCCTACAGATATATTAAATATTCTATCCACATACTGTCCATAATGTCTATACATCCCATCATATATATATATATATACAGTCGGAAGTTTACATACACCTTAGCCAAATACATTTAAACTCAGTTTTTCACAATTCCTGACATTTAATTAAATTCCCTGTCTTAGGTCAGTTAGGATCACCACTTTATTTTAAGAATGTGAAATGTCAGAATAATAGTAGAGAGAATGATTTATTTCAGCTTTTATTTATTTCATCACATTCCCAGTGGGTCAGAAGTTGACATACACTCAATTAGTATTTGGTAGCATTGCCTTTAAATTGTTTAACTTGGGTCAAACGTTTCGGGTAGCCTTCCACAAGCTTCCCACAATAAGTTGGGTGAATTTTGGCCCATTCCTCCTGACAGAGTTGGTGTAACTGAGTCAGGTTTGTAGGCCTCCTTGTACGCACACACAATTTTTCAGTTCTGCCCACACATTTTCTATAGGCTTGAGGTCAGGGCTTTGTGATGGCCACTCCAATACCTTGACTTTGTTGTCCTTAAGCCATTTTGCCACAACTTTGGAAGTATGCTTGAGGTCATTGTCCATTTGCGACCAAGCTTTAACTTCCTGACTGATGTCTTGAGATGTTGCTTCAATATATCCACATCATTTTCCTTCCTCATGATGCCATCTATTTTGTGAAGTGCACCAGTCCCTCCTGCAGCAAAGCACCCCCACAGCATGATGCTGCCACCCCGTGCTTCACGGTTGGGATGGTGTTCTTCAGCTTGCAAGACACCCTCTTCTTTTTTTTCACGGACCAGGCAAGGAAGGCATTAATCAGAGAGGCAACAAAGAGACCAAAGATAACCCTGAAGGAGCTGCAAAGCTCCACAGCGGAGATTGGAGTATCTGTCCATACGACCACTTTAAGCCGTACACTCCACAGAGCTGGGCTTTACGGAAGAGTGGCCAGAACAAAGCCATTGCTTAAAGAAAAAAATAAGCAAACACGTTTGGTGTTCGCCAAAAGCCATGTGGGACTCCCCAAACATATGGAAGAAGGTACTCTGGTCAGATGAGACTAAAATTGAGCTTTTTGGCCATCAAGGAAAACGCTATGTCTGGCGCAACCCCAACACCTCTCATCACCCCGAGAACACCATCCCCACAGTGAAGCATGGTGGTGGCAGCATCATGCTGTGGGGATGTTTTTCATCGGCAGGGACTGAGAAACTGGTCAGAATTGAAGGAATGATGGATTCCGCTAAATACAGGGAAATTCTTGAGGGAAACCTGTTTCAGTCGTCC